CTCGCATTAATATCTAGAAGCCGTGCGAGTTCCGCTTCCGCCCGTTCGCTGTCTCGAGAAAAAAAGAGGATGAATTCTGGAAACACGAGTGATCTCCTCCCTCCCCTAAAGGCTTACAATATGCAATGATTATAATAAAGAGAGATTTATCGGTTTATCATTAATCTTACACTGGATCAATTGTTATTGGCTTTTGAGATGAGATTATATATCAGTACGATAGCACCAGTACAATATCGTTAAAAATAGAGAACTATTGCTATATAAAATGTACTTATATCTACATAGAGAAATTTTAGAAAAATTAATATACTGTTTTTTGCAAGAATCTGCGGGATTTATATTTTATTCATTGTATCGTTCTTGATTGCTGCAACATTGCTTAATATCATATATTTATTTTTAACATGCTCGTATAATTATATGTCATTTTTATATCAAATATTTGTTGATTTATATATAGCAATCCGTATTATTATTGTTACAATAATTATTGTAGCTTCTATTATTAACAGTCTTGCTTATTAAAATTGTAACTCCAATTAGTAGAACTAATTCATATGCAAAAGATCCCGCATGTTTCCTGAATTACACATATTTTATCAACGCAATACATCTATTCAATTAAACGCACACATACTAACAATTTGTAGTGAACAATTTCGTATATACTATAAATTTCCTAAAAATTAATTTTATTTATAAAATTCATTAATTGTGTCGTATTATAAATTTATTTTATTACGGATATATGTAGGATCTATCAAACCTTTGACGTTCTGCAGTATTAAAGTGAGAATCTAACGACGAATCTTTTTTACATGTTAAAAATTTCAATCACTCGTGTTCCCAGATGCCTAATTTCGCGACCGATGCTGATTCTTCGCGAAAACAGATATGACTTTCGTAAAAATCCTCGGAGGCGATATGAGCATACGGGCTGCTCACACGGCGATTCTCTACGATTGATTGTACGAAAGCTTTTCTCTTCAGACAGAAATCGGTTGCGGTGTCGCGTTAGACATTTGCTTTTTTTCCCCATTATGTGCGAAACCGACGGACGGAGGTGTTCGTAAGCTCGCGATTGATCGATGTAATTATACACCCGGCCGATTCGTATCTGTCGTATCCGGTTGCGATAATTAGGAGGATCGATAGGATAGACCGATAACACGCCGCGCCGTATCGAAATGAATCGGCGATACATCGGTAACCGATCGAATTAACGCTAAATGCGATGGCCGGGTGCTGGGGTTTTAGAGCTAACAGATTAAATTATTTTAACATGCGACAGGTCTCGGTAGCATTCGAAATTCTGCGTATTAATGACGCCCGGGGGGAAAAAAATAAATAAATTGAAATTCGTAGTGTTAATAATTTCGGGACGGCGAATTTGGTTGCCAACGATACGTGAAACGTGGATTCTCTCAATTAGTTATAGCATTTTTTTTTAACGAAAAATTGTAATTCCCTTTACAACTGTAGATACGTTTCTCTAAATAATACTGTCTAAATAATACTGTCTGATCCTATCTATTAATATTTACAGTGACGTTAATATCATTAATAACGGCATGAATAATAAACGAATAACATCTCTTTTCAATGACAATGAAATATAAAATTTGCAATTTGTTAACAATTTCTTTAATATCCGTTACATTTATCTTGTAAGTGATTTTTTTATTAAGTAACCAAATGAAAATTGTCTTTTTTTAATTTTTACGTTTTCGCAAGTGTTTTGTGAAATTCTGGCGTACATGAAAGAACACCCCCGCGATTGCGTCGAAGAAAACGAAGTGGCGTACACCGTAACGCGCATTTCTGCTAGTGATTGTACGAGTGCTGCTGTATGGCCTAAAGGGATCATATACAACGTGCTAATAAATTTAAGTTGCTCTCGAGTCGCATCGACAAGTCCTACGATCGATATCAGCCGATAGTAACCAGTGCCGTCAATGATATTCAGAGTTCTTATATATTTCAATTATTAAATATTACATTAACCTTACGGGCGAAAAATTATAAATAAATGAATATGCAAATGAACGTAAATCAGCATTGGAGCATACCTTTTTCTTTTTTATATTTTTATATTTTTTTTATATATATAAAAGTCTCGTTAATATATATAATTACGTATATCTGTATGTCTGTTCGCGTCTTTATAAAAATCTCTCGCGCTCTTTTAGATTTTGTACAAATGTCAGGCAATTACATAACGCGAACGTTTGCTTTCAGCGATATGTTCGTTAACTGTGGATCCATACAAACATCTCGCAAGTTACTATTCGAATATTGAGTAGCTTTACGCGGACCGCGCGATGCGTAATATTCAATGCACGAATACGATTCAATGGAATAATTGCGACATTCGTGTAGCATATTTTTCGAGATTCTCTTCTGCCTGCTGTTCGAGTATTCAAACTAGTCACAGGACCGCCGACTATCGATTGGAAAACAGCATGCATACCAACGTCATACGTATCATAGCATTGGAACGTACGAGCAGCGTGTTATCGGATATTCACGGCACTGGCACTTGAACCTATAAATTGCGAACAATTGCTTTTTTACTAGCTACAATACAGTCTTGTTCTTAAACTTTATCTGATAGGTAATTCGAGGAAATTTTACAGCTGCTAGGAGAGCGATAGGAATTTCGTTCATCCTTGTTAAAACTCTCACGTCTGGTAAGATACCCATCGGAGTTCTAAATCACGTGATAATAACGAATAAAATCGAAAAAGACAGAGAATGAAACAAAATTAGTATAATAAATTCTCTGTAACTGTTACGACGCCAATATATGATCATCGAATTCTCGTGAAACTATCGTTTCGTATAACTTTCGTAAAAAAGGGGAAAAAAGAACTTAAATCTCTTTCAAAATTGCGAAAATTGCGATCACAGAAATGGAGTATCTTTAAGATGGCATGCTGTTCGCATAAAATATTCTGATATTATCTCGACAGTTGCTGAGAAATAATTCCAAGTCGAAATAGAATAATAATATAACACTAATATAACACAATAAATGTAAACTCATAAAGAAAGGCTATATTATACATATTTTATGAATTGCTAAATTTTTTGATAGTTCTTTAAGGACTCTGATAACTTTTTGGTATTATGGTTACCTCCGATTAATATCGTACAAGACGCGATTGATAAAATCTCATATCTTCATTCCTTCTAAAGTTTAGAAAGCTACGATAACTTCTATTACACTCTTCTGTCTGAAGTTCTAAAATCACGCAAACTCGAAGTAAGTTTTTGCTACAGATCAAAAACTTTATCTTGCTACTATCTCGTTATATATTATGGATCAATCGAGTCGGATTTTTATCTCGCAGTTCTCTTTCTCCTGAAATTACCTAATTCTCCAGAAACACGTTCGAAAGTAAGTTCCCACACAATTCTCGACTATTTCTGTTCTATCAGACTTTTCTTTTATCGATGCGATCTTCGTAACTGTATCTGAAGCGACCACGATAATGCGAAACGACATGCTTTTCAAGAAAAAAAGGAGACATCATTATAGTTCATTACATCGACGTACAATATTTACATATAGCAGTCTTTGCATACGATCAGTGAAAATGCGCAGTAGAATTGTGCCGCGTTGTGTTTTATCGGGATAAAATGGTTGAGCTACGTGATGTGATCTTTTTCGCGAATACTTAATGCTCTCGAATACTCGACTTTTGTCAGCTTTTCTTAAAGACCGCCGATTAAGCACATTCGGATAAGATTGCTGGTCCGTGAAACCCCTACTGAAAGATAAAATTTAGGAAGTTACAAGTATCGATAAAGACTAGTATAATCGAGGAATAAACGAAAGATGGATTTCACTGAAAAAAAGAGTATTATAATAGCTATCAAATGCTGCGTGAAATAATTTCAATTAAGTATTCGGTTAATATAACCAAAAATAATTTTCTTTCATATTTAGTACATATTATCAAACATAATAATATAATTAACCATTGTATATAGTACTTACTAAATAGTTGAAACAGTCTTATTTTTGATTATATTAACCGAATATTTGATTGGAATTATTTCACTTACAATATAATTGATTACCAAACTCGTTACCAAACTCTTTTTTTCAATGAAATAAAAATACGATTATATGAAATTTGTATAATACCATAAAAATTAAACGCAATCATTCATATAAATAGAATTGGAACAGCTTTTTCTTGAATAAGATTTGTTATAATTTATTTTTTTATCGTATTTCTTGCCTCATATGACATTATTTCAATTATAATAGCTTTTCCTTTGTGTAAAGGTTACGTTATGTTAACAGAGAAATGCGACAATTTAAAATTTCAATGTACGATTATAAATTAGCATAAATTTTAACATCTTATAAAATAAATTCGTGAATATTAGAAACAGATAATTCTTACTTTGTATAAAATATTGAAAGAAAGATGTTGCAAATTGAAATGTAATAAATGAACAAAAGATCGAAGACGTAAATCAGACGTTTTGTTGCAGAATGTCTTTTTGTCATCAAAATTGATTTCTAGGATTAAAATCGATTATAACTGCAGGAGCTTTTTAATAAATCATTCGCTTACGATACATTTCAGCACATGACGTAGCTCATTCACTTTAACTGATTTGCACGTTAGTTTGATAACGCTAAAAGCTGCGATCTCACGCACTTTTTCACACACGCCTGTCTTGTACACAGTTTTCGTTATAAGTGTGCACAATCAGATCGTGTTTGTGTGAAGCTATTAAATTATACTTATAGTATATACAAAAGCAAAGAGATATGCAAGAGAACATTATTTTTTGTTCAGCTGTTCCCTGCGTTTTTCTCTTTCTTTTTTTTTTCTTACGCTTTTATTCTCGGCTTCTAAGCGTGCTTATCCCCGAGTCTGCGTATGCATCGTGTACATCGTGTAGGATAATAAGAGAAAGATAGAAAGAGAGAAACGGTCAATGTGTGTAGGTGTCAATTTATTAACTCGTTATACCGGCGTCTTTGGCAGTTTCCTGCGCGTCGGCGACGAGGGCGCTTTCTCCGTTTCGGTTTCTGCAAAAATATATTAAAATGCATCGTGTCAATGGTCGCGTTCAGCAGACTCAACTCTTGCGGAGCGGATCTATGAGTGTTCATTGCTATATTGGTATTCTTCTAAGTCATCCAATAGCTGTGAGCGCTCACAGATCCGTAACAATTGAATACGCTGAACGCAATCAATGACGCATGTTGCTTCCGTAACACTATTTTTCCGTAGTGAATATGATAACATCTCTGTAGTCGGCCTTTCTCGCCACACGAGAATAAACAGGCTCGAAATTATTTAGTTATTCATAAGCTTTTGAATGTAAGTTTTGACTTTGCAGGCAAAAATTTAATTTTTTTTTGTGGCAATTGAGTGAGAAATTGAATTCTTGTGCACGGTAATCAAAATTTTTCACTAAATAGTTTATAATTGTGATTCATACTTTTTATTCTCATGTAGTAGAAGGACCAAGTGTACAGAGGTTAAACTACGATAATAATAGTTAAGAATTATTCTTTTGCTTCGCATAAATAAGACGCGCAATTTTTTTTATTAGCAGATTATTTCTAAA